AAAAAAAATTTTTGAAAAAAAAAAAAAAAAAAAAAAAAACATAACCAAATAGGTTATATAATTATATTTGTATTTATTTAGTTATTTGCACTTAAGAAAAACATAAAAATGATATTTTCGTTTTTTTTTCATTACAATAAGGGCATTTTTTATTAAGGTTAAAACATCTCTTACAAAAAATGTCTGGGCAACGAGATGAATAAGAGTACTTTCCTTTAAACATTCCACAACGAGAACAAAAACGGAAGGTATCGGAAATCATACATAAAAAATTAATAACACATTTTTAAATTAGATATTTGATAGTTATTTTATTATTTAATAATGCTAATAAGTTAGCAGTCAGGCCGATGTTTGTATCACGTGAAAACGGCAGACAACGCTATTTAAAGTCCCTACGGAGGTACACGTTCCCACGAATCGGATCCTTGGATATAATGTTAAGGAACCGGAAGGCGTGATTTCTCGTCCATGTTTTCGCCAAAACGGTCGGTCATGCGCCTCAAAGAATCAACAAACCGCCTGCATCAAAGGCAAACTCGCAACGCGTGGCAGGAGGAACTGGTTTAGGCTGGTCCCGTAGAAGGATGTATAAATTTATTTTTTTTTTTTGTGAATTATTAAGCCCCAACCTTTGCAAAGTCCTGCCCCCCCAACACGTGGTGCTACCTCAATAAAGGAACAGACTGTAGGTTCGGTTTAAATTCCCCCTTCCCAATCCCTTCAAAAATGGATGGGATGATTTGAATGATCTCTATTTGCCTACTATTTATATTTGTGTAAACTATTTCATTTGACTAAGTAAAAATATTATTATTAAAAAATATTTTTGTTATGTAAATAATACATTTAAATTCTAAATCAGGCATATCCAAATGTACTCATGAGGACTTGTCTTTTTAACATTTATTTGTTAAAAAAAAGAATATTACATACGACTTAATTTAATATATATTATAAAATTGTTAGTGTTTCCAGAAAAATGTCAAAAGTTATGTTACAAAAGTTGCTAATTTGAATTCACCACTGTGAGCAGTTAAAAAATAAAATATTCAAAAAATTAAAAAAATTGTAAGAAATTATCTAAGATATCTTTAAAAATAAAAGTGTTTTGATTCAATTATTTTTCAGAAACTTATGATAGTTTTAAGTAAAAGAATTTTTAAAAAATGTCAAAAAAAAATTTTTACAATTTTTTAGGGTAATTTCTTTGACTAGATACGATTTATGATCTTTTGACGTATCATTGAATGAATTCGGTTTAGTGAGAACTGAGAATAAGTGGTAAAACATATCATAGTAATAAATACCTCTTTAGCTTTGCAATGAAGATAATATTAATTTCTTGATAAGATAATAAAGCCATTACAATATTATTATTTTACATACACAATTAATATAATATGACAATCAACTTATCTAAATCAATTGCTTATGATCCTTAAATTACTTAATCTGGCACTCTAAATTTGATTGATAGTTACAATTTAAAAAACCCAGCACAGGGGGGTCGCGGCACAGTTGTGACGTGGTATAGTTGGATCAAGTATAATGATATCTGACAGTGATTAAAATCACTATCAT